TTCTCATGGTAAATCCAGGTGGTTAATGTTGACATTGAATTGAATTGTAAGCTACCTCACTGGTGTTAAAAAATTGGAAAATTGTTTGGTGTGAGAGAAAAAAAGAACCTTCTCCTCATCTGGAATAAAATGTCACACTTAGCCATGCTTACTTGCCCCTTAAACTCTGCAACTTTTTAAATATCTTGAGACACACCTAAATATATCATTTTCTTTTTATTTTATAAGATGACATGTTCTGAACATATCATCTCCCAAATGTGTGAAAATGAAGCCACCTATATGTAAGCATATGAAACCCAAACATATAGTTTAGACAAAAGAAACCAAAAAGACAAAAACATATCTAAGAGGATGATTATTCAATCAGTAACTTGTCTGTCATGCTTCTGCAAAGGATCATCAGTTGTGAGATCATAAGTAATATCTTCTTCATAAATGCAAACTGTTGTCCTTTAAAATATTTATTCTTTTATTTAACGAAGATTGAGGGACAAAAATATGCCAGGTACATGTTTAAAGTCCTGGGTAAAAGACAATTGTCACTTAGTCTGTCCTTCCAGAACTCAGAGTTCATTTGGAGACATAGAGGGAGAGAAGTTAATTATAAAACAGTGGAATAGGAGTTGCACCATAGCTGTATTTAAAGAGCTTTTGGACTATGTGGAGAAGAGGTAAGCAACTTGACATTGAAGGGAATGTAAGGAACTTTGTCATATGTAAGTATGCTATATCTTCCTGAGAATTAGCAACAAAAGTGACTAACAACAGAGACCCAAATTCCAAAGACCTGAAAAATATAAGGCTAAAGATAGAAGCTTAATTGTAACTCTAATTAGTGAACCAACCACTAAATCGCTTACTGATTACCATAATTATTCAAAGTTCCATTTTACATATTCAAGTTCACAGGTAGTATCTTTGACTATTTAATTGCTGAATGAATGTTTACATCTTGTAATTTTAGTTTCTTTTTTTCTAGTTTTATTGAGATATGATCGATGTATAACATTGTGTAAGTTTAAGGTGAACAAAGTATCAAAATTCCATTTTTAATAAAAAACACACAACATGAAATATCAGAGGGAAACAGAAACATTTTAGAAAATAAGCCAATAGAAACTTGAATCATATTCATCTTTAAACATTATTAACCTTAGAAGATTTGTATTTGATTATTCTTGGGTTTTTTAAATGAATTAATACCTAAGATATTATTTTATAACCTTGACTGAATTTTTTAATCGTTAGTAATATTAGTTTAAAGAAAGTTCTGTTAATTCATAATTTAAAAATAATAGAAAGATAAAGAAAATATACTTATACATTTTTATATGAAATTAAGTTTTAGAAGCTCTATATAACTCACTTTTGGTGACTGTGAATACATACATATATAATACAATATAATATCAGTTACCCCAACTCTAACATCTGGTGTGTCATCTCATGGATGAAAAATTATTGCCCACCATCTGATTCTACAAGGATGAAGTCACTAGCCACTGTAGTTGCTAACCTTCAAACCATCCTGAAAGAAGTTCAGGACTGAAATTAGGAATGAAATACTCTGAGCTCTGGGAAAAGCTGGCAAAACAGCCCTTCAGATAAATATTTTTTAGGAGAACGTTTCATGAGACCAATTTCTTGCACCTTCTCGCATCTAGAAAATCACTAAAATCATTAACAGAGAATCTGCTCCTTGTGACTAGCAGCAAACTTCTGCCAAAATATGTGCTTTATTGCATGTACCCCCCTTCACCAAAATTACATGTGTACTGAAGTCCCCACCTTCTTCTTTGGAGCAGATCCTCAGAGCTCTCCAAGATGCTGTCTTCTGGGCTATAGTCTTCATTTTGTCCCCAATAAAACTTGACTCACAACTCTCACATTGTTCATTTTTTCTCAATTGATAGTTTTTATAAGGTACCTGTATTGGGTAAAAAATAAAAATTAGTTCATAGATAGCTTAATTAATTAATGCCTTAATAATCACACATTTCCAATGAAGGAGAAGATGGAATATATCATCTAGGTTTACAAGTAAAAACATAAAGAAAGAAAACAAAAATATATAC